CTCTCTCTCTCTCTCTCTCTCTCTCTCTCTGTGTGTGTGTGTGTGTGTGTGTGTGTGTGTCTACTCTCACACATATCAAGGTCAGAGCACAACTTTCAGGAGTTTATCCTCACATTTCTCTTTGTTAAAGCAGGGTTTCTCTTTTTTCTGCTACTGTGATGTGTACTCCAGGCTAGCTGATCCTCAGGCTTTAGGTGGCTTTTCCTGATTCTGTCTCCCTTCTTCCTGTATGAGTACCAGGATTAAAGATTCATGCCTCATCATCAGTTTTTTATGTGGGTCCCAGGGACCAAACTTAGCATGTCAAGTTTGAGCAGCTATCACTTTTACCCATGAATCCACTTTTCCAACTCATTCAGTCTCACTCACCTCTAGACCGGTCTCAGGAAGGCCAAACTGGCCTCAAACTCACTATGCAGCTGATGATGACCTTGAACTTGTGATGCACGCACCTTTACCTCCTGAGTTCTGGGGTTAAAGGAGTGCAACATCGTTCCCTTCTTTTCAGGCAGGGGATGGAACCCGGGGCTTGATGGACGCTAGACAAGCACTCTGATGTCTGAACTACATCCCTAGCCTCATGCGATGTTCACCTTCTCCTGTCTCATCTGCCCACCTGCTACTGGTCCTCTTCGTATTTCCAGATAGCTTCTTCTCTGTTTTCAAATCTTAAGTTAATTAAAGTCCAAAACGATCTCTTTTGCTACCAGGGAAATAAATCTAACTTACTTTTCAATAAATTATCACTCTGCACTCTCTAAGTAACACTATTAATTACCAAAATACCCAGTAGGTAGTCCTGAAAGAGCAACTCCGTTCTTTCCACTGGAACACCATGCTTATTGTTGCTTTCTTGTTTCACTGGGTGCTGGAAGCAAAGGTGGTCTCTGTTAATTGACCTAAGTACTAAGGGGAAAAAAAGCTGTTCTTAAAAAGAGCCTTTAGTGCACACCACTGATTCAATAGCCTAGGGACATTAAAATGAATAATGATTGGATGCTTTACAAAAGCAATGTGATATCTTGATTTCCTTTCTTTCCAATTTCTAGATATTGTTTCAGTGTATCATCGATCTGCTTCAAACTCTTGAGAAATATCCAAACATGTAACTTAAAGTTTAACAACTAAATAAGATACAGGGGTCTAAAAGGGAATGGGCAGGGAAGGCATGGGGTGAAGGAAAAAATTTCTAAACTAGCACATGGTTTTCTTTCTTATTAAACTTCCCCACATCTGAAGGAATAGGACAAGGACATGAGGAGGAGGGAAGGCATGATGCCAGGGAAGGCGCCTGTATGGCTTTGGCTACAGAGGAGTCAAAAGTCCACCAGATGGTTGGAAGAGGAGGAACCAGGCCAGCAGGGTGGAGGCACAGTTGGGTTCCTAGGAAGTCTGGCCCACTGGTGAGGGGGCAGAGCTGGGAGCCAAGAGGCTCTCCTTAGCAACTATAGCCTTTGAAAATGCTTGTGCTGTTTATCCATGTTTGATTTCTCTGAAATGAGGCACACAGGGCAAATCAAGTGAGGAGGATGAAGAATGGTGGCAAAAAGGAGGAGGTTTTGGAGTTCCACCCGATCCTGTTCCTGACTTCATTCTATCCTACATCGATTCTAACCTAAAATGATCCCTAAGTAAGAGAATGTGGTGGAAACAGAAGTGGAAGATTCCAAGGTTGGAAAATGATGTAAAAAGAAAGCCGGAAGTATCCCTAAATGTGGGAAGTATCTTTAATAACCCATAAAGAGCCACTGCCTGTGAAATGTAGTTGTCAGAGGCACAAGCAGAGCCACATGTTGAAAGAATACATCAGTTTCTGCCAGGTGTATACCCATCTCTTTCCTCCACCATGACCACTGTGACATTTATAAGTGGAGCACCATTTCTCCTTCTTTCTGTGAGAGATAAAAGTGCTCATTTGTTTATTCACCTATTCATTCATTCATTCAGCATGTGCTCATGGATTACCTGGACCCTGTTGGAGGGTCTAGGGCAGCAGTTATGGATAACAAAGTCCCTTTTGTTCATAGCACTTGGAGTCGAGTGGGGGGAACCTGCCAAAACCCAAGGTCAGCAAGTAACGTGAGCATGAGGTATATGTGACTCGATAACTAGTCCTTTGGAGGAAACAGAGAGACATCTATGTTGAAGTCACAGTTTCCAAAAGGTCTATCCTAGAACACCTCACAATGAAGGTGACCTTGATTAAGGCCCCAAGTTAAGGAGGCAGGGTGTGGGAGAGGAGAGCTTTTGAGGTAGGAAAGATCAGGTACAGAGGGTGGGAAGCTGTTGTCTGGATGGACCTCAGGGAAGAGCAGGGACTGGCGGTCTTAGAAGATCAATAACCAAGCCAGCCAAGGGGGCCGTGGATGGGGCAGCTGGATGCATTCCAAATGGGAGGGAAAGCGTTCACTCTGAGTGACCAGGTGTCACTGGAGCAAGGACAAGGCCCTGAACTTATATTAACAAACAAAATAAAACAAACTTTTGCATGTGCATGTGTGTGCATTTTCATATATGTGTAGGTTTGTGTGTGCGAAGGCTACCTCTATTGTGTCATTCCTTAGGATGTTCTCCACTTTGTTTTGAGACAGCCTCTCTGGCTTAAAGCTCACCCATTTGGCTAGGCCGGCTGGCCAGAAAGACCCAGGGATCTAGCTATTTCAGGCTCCCAGAGCTGGTATTACAAGCTTGTGCCATTATGCCCACCCCTTTACACGGTGCTGGGGCTAGAACTCAGGCCCTCGTGTCTGCAAAGCAAGCGCTTTACTGAGCTGTCACTTTAACCTCGAAATTATATTTCAGTCGATGCTTGTTGTTAATCTGTCTTGATGCACAGCAGGATGGTAGAGGAAGGACAGAGTACAGGGACCCAAAAGGAAGCTGTTGTTGAGATTGGGGCAGCCCGTGTGGTAGCAAGGTGCTGAATACCCCAGAACACTCTAGGAGGATGTCCTCAGAAGTCAGGAGGACCTTAGATGTCAGGACTTTACAATTATCCCCAAGGGCTTTGGCCTGTACACAGGAGACGAGGAAGCCTGAAGAAGGGTGTATGCACTGGGTATGAAGAAACATAAGCTTAGGCATGGTAGCCAATACCCAAACGTGCAGAGAGGATGGTAGCAAGAGAAAGAAGCTGTCTCCTGAGGTGCAGCCAGTTGTTGTGGGAACCTTTTGGGGGTCAAACGTCTCTCACAGGGGTCACATATCAAAGATCCTGCATATCAGATATTTACATTATGATTTATAACAGTAGCAAAATTACAGTTATGAAGTAGGACAAAAGTAGTTTTATGGTTGGGGGTCACCACAACCTGAGAAACTGTATTAAAGGGTCACAGCATCAGGAAGGTTGAGAGCCACTGTGTTAGAATGTTGTCTGCTCTAGAAAGGCATGTTTTAAAATTCCTGGAGCTTCACCTTGGGCCCTGAGCTGTTACAGAAACCTCTGTGGGCAGAGGTGCTCAGAGTCTGACATCCCTGGCCTCCAAAACAAACCCGCTGCCTCTGGAAGGTCAAAGGCATCCCACCCCATTTTCAAGGTACCCACCCAGTAGTATTCTCCTCTTCTCTTTTAGAATGATGCTCAGGAACAATCCATTACCAAGCCATTAGATTTGTTGCTGGTGAATTTAGTGCTCACCAAAATAATCTAGAGAACCTGTTAAAATATATATTTCCTGGCTGCTTCCCAGAAGTTGGAAGGTGGAGGGAGGGACCTGAAGATGGCCAAGTTCTTCTGCTGATCATGGGAGTTTAGGAATGCTCAATCAATTCTGGAAAGCAGATTTCAGAGCTTATCTATCCCTGTTTATAGCCGATTGTTTTTCCTCTAAATGTTGGATGCTTAGGGAGTGAGTTAGAAGATACAAATTTGTCTGCCTCCATCTTTTTTCTAGGGTTGTCCAAAAAGTCAAAAGACTAAGTTACATTACTTGTATTGTCTTTGATTAGTTTTGTTATTTTGTTCCTCATTTTTCTATGTATTCAACAAGTCTCATTTGCACAGGAAGGAGGCTCAGTGCTGCCACCCCTTCTGAGGGTCATCCAGTTTGTCTGCTTATATATGTGGTCTTATTCTTGGGGTGACTGCTGAAGGAACCTGCATGTCTTTGGAGATTAAGTCCCATGACAGCACAGAAATTAGCACGAAGTGGATCTCCAAAACATCTAGTAATCAACCACAGACTGGATATTCATATTTTAGCATTTGTAATTTCAAATAGAACCTTCAGGGTCCTGGCAAAGCAAGAGCAGGGCTTTCATTGGATGGGAACTGTCTGTCTAGTCACACCTGCCAAATGTTTCTTGTTGCACCTTCTCGCGTTTCTTTTGGATTATCCAGAACCCAGGCCTACCTGCTGAGGATGTGTCTAAGAATGGCCTTCGGACATTCTTCTACACCCAATCCCTTCTCTACAGTCAGTGACACAACTTAATCTATTCACACATTTTTTTTTTTTTCTTCCTAATTTCGGAATGGAGGTGAAACCTTGGGAATCCTGTGGATTCTGGACCCTGAACAAAAAGGCTGGAGAGCCCTACTCTTCCGATTGTCAGGCCAGAAAAGAATCTGGCTGAAAGCAAGGCGCGTGCCTCTGCTTCTGCACAGATCTCCGGGCTTCCTCAACCGCCACCCTAACAGCTAGAGCACGTTGGGTGATGGGGCCACCACGAGCCTCGGCGCCCACGTGGTGGGCCTGCCCGCTCGGCGCCCACTTGCAGAATCATCCGCATAGCTGCGCTGCCATCCACTTATGGCTCCATACCGGGCGATGATCCCTCCATCCCTCTTTAGAGATGGCACCACACATCCGACTCCACCTCTCAGGGCTGGTGGCGCCACATCCCTAACACTACCGCGGTTCCACCCTATCCTCCTCGCCCACCCTGCAGCTTGTTGGAGTCCAAAACCCGACAGGCCCCGCCCTTGCGAGAGCCCCGCCCCCTGCCCCTCCCATTGGTGCTCGGGCGGGGCGTGGGCGGCTCCTGCGGGTTGCAGGCGGGGCAGCGGTTCCAAGGCTGGCGCGCGTGGGCCAAGTCTTCACTGCTTGCTGAGCACCGGAGCCGGAGCTGTCCGGCATTTCTCGACCTCCTGACCATGAAAAAAACAGACGACCCCGCGATCTCCAGCACCTCCTTACCGAGGTACCTGGAGCACCTCTCTGGGGATGGCAAAGCCATCGGTGTCCTGACCAGCGGCGGGGATGCCCAAGGTGCGCTCCTACCGGCTCTCTAGCCTGCCTCCTGGTCCCGGGCTGGAGGGGAGGGCGACTGGAGAGGGCTGCAGAAGAGGATAACCGGGGTGGGATGACAGGGAGGAAGAGCTTGGGAGAAACGTTGAGTGATATGGATCTGGGAGAAAGGATGAGGAAATGACCGGTGAGCTAAGGCGAACCGGTGGCCTAGAGCAGGAAGAGCCAGCCCTAAACTAGAAAGGACTAGGGTGTCTGAAAAGCGACCTTAGAGGGTGGAGCCCCATTGCCGGGTGAGGTGTAGAGGATGAGGGGTATGGTTGTAGGATCCTTCATTGGCAAGATGAATAATTTTTCCATCTCCAGGTTTATTGATTGAGGGGTCGTCTAGTGTCTGAGTCTATAAGACAGAGCCAGGCGTTCTTTCCTGAAATTAGGAACAGGGCGACTACTCGGATGCCAAGGCACTCGCCCCACCCCAATCCCTGGGCATCGTAGAAAAAACATCGGGGTCCCCCGCAGCGCCTCCTGTCCAGTCCCGCCTCCCACGCAGCTCAGGCTGCATCCCTGCTGCTGCACTGCGGGAAGCGCGGCTGGGGGCGCGCAGGGGTCTCTCCGGGCGTGGCGTTGACGGTCAGGCAGCGCCTCGTGTTTTCACTAAGGGTATCATTGAAAGGGTTTTCTGTCGCCTTCTTGCTCGTGACAAAACTGAAAACTAAAATGGGTCACTAGGCCCTCCCCGCCAGTCTCCCCAGGACGGGAAAGACCAGGAAGCGGGGACTCCAGGACGTCACGGCACTCACTCAAGCACCGGCTGCAGTCTTCCCTTTTCTACCAATGGCGAGGTTGATTTTAGAGCTGAAGAGACCCGATTCCAGGATGTTTGGACTTGATAAACTAAGAGAATATTTAAACTGTAAAAGCGATGGGGGTGACCAATCACGCCTCCGGCCCTTCGCCCTGGGTACACGTGGGGGTACTAGGGTTCCCAGACAGGGGTGTTTCCAATGCTAATTCCTTCATTAGAATTAGAAGGTAGACAGACGTACATTTCCATAGCTTACATGCTCTCCAAGCCTTGAGGTCTGCAGACAGTTCCCGGAGCTGGGTTTTGCTTTTGCTTTTCCGTTCTTCCCTCTGACCTAGAGGAGTCCAAATGTCACGTTTTATTTTCCTTCGTTCTAACCCAGCACAAGAAGGGAGGCTTAGGGTTGAAGCCCGGTGTCCTTGCCTTCCGCCCACCCTACGGATGACCTTCACTTCGCCCTTGAGCGGGGCGGGGCCGTCGCCGGTGCCGCAGGTTGGGGCTTAGGGCAACGCCCCGCCCGGCGTGGGAGCCTACGTGATGCTGGGCCCGTCGCCTCCGGTGTGCTTTAAGTCTCCTGTACCGGCTTAAATTAGTGTACCACCGGAGGCGCGTCGGGCTCACAGACACCGGAAACTGCGTCTGCCCAGTGAGGGGTCCCCATTGCTCTCCCCTCCCATTATCTTAAAGGCGCCAATGGCAACATCAGTCACCCTAGGCACTGCAACAGGCCCTCCTTCCTCCCCTGAAAGCAGTACTAGTCTTTTAGTAAGGAGATCCTCAGTACCAACTACTTCAAGGAGGGCTAGTTTCCCAGAGAGAGAATGCAGTGATACACTGGAGGCTGTAAAAACAGCAAAGTGGAATGTGAGGTAACATCACCAGAGTTACCCAAATTTAAATGCCTGAAGATACCCATCTATGGGGCAGCCAGGAGCCTGTACTAGGACACCAAAATGGGGGGACTTTTAAAGTCTTGCATCCTTACACAGAACCGTGCTAAGATAAAGTAGGAAGTATTTTGGTTCTTATCCTGGGCTGCCAGAGAAGAAATTACCACTACAGGAAGAGGCTTACGGCCAGCGGGGCTGCAAGCTGAGGTGGTAAAAGGTTTTATTTTAGAATTAACATCCTGGATCAGTTAGAAAACCAATATTGGTGGCTTATCCTTTTGAAATCCCTTTCCAAAAATATTTCCTGAAATATTTAGCCTGGGTGCAACTATGTGCGATTTTAGGGCATTTGGTCAAAACTCCATTTTCTTTTCTGCTTATCTTGGGTCGGCCACAGGTGAGAATTGGGGAATCTGATTTTTAAATTCATCTGCTGTCTCTTCAGTGGAAAAAAGATATTTTCAGAACCAAAATTACATTTGAACATCGCTGGGTTAGATGGCTGCTCTCAGCTTCATAGGGGGCATCCACTCTGTCTTGTCATACCTGAGCTGTTGCTTGGGAAGAAAGTCAACGCCAGTTGTATGGGTACTCTGCCTAGTTTTTCTTAGAACTTGTGTAAACAGTCATGTTTTGTTGTCATGCTATTTGGACCTGTGTGAGGGGGTGCATGTATTTTTTTTTTTTCCTGGAAAATTCTCTGGAGATGCTCAGAGAACCTGGACTTAGCAGTGTTACTCCTGGGACAGAAGAAAGCGGTTATTGTACCCTATTCTTTTACTATTTTGTCTTGATTTCATCAGTACCTGATTTTTACTTGAGAGATGGGTTGGTTCATAGCCAGAGGTTCACAGCCAAATCTTACTGATGGAATAATAGTGTAGTTTTATGCTGAAATGGCCATATTTAGTACAGTACATATTCTATACATCTTATGGCAAAGTCTTGCAATTCTTATCTCTATGCCTAATGACATGACTTCAAGATACTGAGTTCTTCATTTTGGAGGTGGGGAAAAAGACTCACAAGAGATAAGTAACTTAGGCAAGGCCATGAGGCTTATACCCAGTGGTAACAGGATTTAAATGATACTTTATGAAATCTCATCCCCAAATTCTTCTTACTGAACCTTGTCTTCATGGCATCTTTCTATGTAAGACTGGTTGAGTTATTGCTCAAAACTGAATGGAGCCCAGCTCTCTCAAAAGTATATAGAGTCTCTTTGGGCAACTTTGTTGGCAGAGGAAGTAAACATCTTTTTTTTTTTTTTTTTTTTTTACAGTAATAGTAATAGCAAGGTTGCTTAAACCGTGTAGCATAACACTCAATACAGAGGCAGCAAGGCTTTCTTTTTCTAAAGGAATTTATATTGTATCATTATAAAATAAAATTGAAAAGTCACCATTAATTTCATTGTAGCCTAAAATGAACTCCACATTGCTAGACAGGCAAGTTTACTATGACTAAGTACCTACCTTCAAGCAGTATTGCATTCCATACAGAAATGATTAATGATTTTAGATACACTGTGGCAGGTTGCTGAGATGGCTCAGTGGGTAAACATGCTTTTTACCAGGTCCGGGGAGTTCGATACCTGAGTCCCCCATGGTAGAAGGAGAAAACTGACTCCTGCAAATTGTCCTCTGACTTCCTTGTGTGCACCATGGCCCATTCACACCCCTCCCCACATACACAAATAACTACATTAATATAATAATTAAAAAAATTAGATTGTGGCCTCTGTAGGTCTGGTGTATGGTGGCATTCAGACTAGTCAGAATCCATGGTACGTGTTTAGGATAGGCTCAGTTGTTTTATTGTCTGTGGAGACATCAACATTAATACAATATTTACAAAACATCTGCTTAGATTCTATAGGACTCTCTCCAGGCTCTGTGGAAATACTAGCCATTAAAGACTGCTTGTTATGTGGTAGGCTGAATTTACTCTGGATGTCAAGTTACTCCCATCTGATGCATGAGCTTAAGATGAACTGGTTTTCTGAAGTTCACAGAACTGAGTGTCAGGGCCAAGACTTGTGGCTGTAGATTGGATGCAGATACAATGTGCTGTTGACAGAGTTCTCATTGGAACTATGGCCACACCATCCGGCATGGCTAGCAGCAAGCATTGTGATATTTGTTGACTGTCTTCCACCTAGAATCACCAGTGAAAGTGACAGGGAGTAAATGTGACTTGTCTTGGGTGAATTAAACCCTCACTAATCAAAATTACCCCTTCAGCCTTTGAGCAATAGGTACCAACTACTAGTAATTGTAAAGAACTTTAAAATTAGAATTAGAAGCCAGAGGTGCCCACAGACCTGACCCAAGTGCTGATTTGGTTCCTCTATTTTATACATTCACTCTGCCTTTTGTATTTATGGATTTCACATTTGCAAATGCCGTCAAACATGGCTTTAACATAAATTTCTAAACATAGCTATGACTGTCTTTCATTATCATTACCCCCTAATCAATACAGCATAATAACCATTTGCTTTCTATTTGCATTGTACTAGCTGTGATAAATTAATGCAAAGATGCTTTAGGAGAATTTGCAAAGTTGTATAAAAACTTTTGTGGTTTTTATAGATGTACTTCCGAGTCCTTGGATTGATTTCTGACAGGATCCAAGAATCAATTCCCGGGGTGGGGGTGGGGGGAGCAAGTCTACATTCATTGAACACCCAGATGAGAGCCCTGGTTGGGCCCCTTCATTACCCATAGCTGTGCTTGTATGGGATGCCAGTATATGCAAAAAAGACTTTGAACAATAGACATGTGAGTTCACACAGCTCCAGGGTATGTGTGCTCGTGTGCGTGTGCGTGTGCGTGCATGCACAAGCATAGCACACAAGCACATGTTCTTAAGACTTAAGACTTAAATCCATAAATTCTGTCTTAAGACTCTGCCTATCTGCTTTTTGAGTGCATTTTTCTAGGTTAAAATAATCATTTGAGCAAAAATATAGGGCAAGTCCATCACAGAGTAGGGGATTTGTATGACAGTGTAGTATCTCTTTGTTTATTTTCTTGATGCTGGGGATCAAACCAGAGCTTTGTATATGCCGGGTAAGTGGTCTACAACTGAGTTGCTTCCCAAGCCCCAGTGCATCATTTTCTGAGGGCAGGTATTTTGTGTGACATGTATTCTTATGACCTTTGGAAGCTATTTTGTTGCCTTTCCAGAATAAGTAAGTAAATAAGATGAATACCTGAGGCATGTTTTCCTCTGGTTACAGTGAACTCAAAGCTTTTGGTTGTGAAGAAGGCTTTTATCCAGGAAATCTGAAGCTGTTTAAGATCTGATCTATTGATTTGCTGTCAAAAGCCATGAGAATTAGAAATACGAAGATAAGGTCACCACATGTTGGAGACAGATGTCAGAATACAAAACTGCATTCATTTGCTATTACAGTCACCACCCGACGTTGAGTGCTCAGGGATGAAGAGCAGGCGGCTGTACTCCGCAGAAAGCTGAGTCATTTCTTCAGTGTTGTACACTCCTCAACAAGCTTTGGCTAGTCTTGGATTTCTATTTGTTGCCAAATCCCTCTGTGGAGGCTGGATTCTTCCTCACAACCGGGCTTTGCCATTTTGTATTTTGTTTGGAATTACAGTAATGTGCCTGTCTAGATGGATGAAGCTTTAAAACTTAGCAGAACAGTCTCCCTAGCCTCAGACTTATCTATAGGCCCTGTCTTCTATCTACTAGAACGGCAACAGGGGTTTCTTCCTCGTTTGCAAAGTGAAGGAGTCAGAATGTCCCATCTCTGCCTTTCTCTTTCCTTTCCCTCCCCTCCCCTGTATCACCGCCCTACCCCCCTTATCTCCTAACATAGTCAGGCAAAAGTAGGACCCAGAACCAAAGAGGAAGGGTTGGACTGCTCTGGGCTTCTAACAGCACTGCCCCAGAGGACCCATGCACTATCTTGTCCATCCTCACTGTGCTTACAGCCACCGGAAAGATATTGCGAAGATGCCTATGCTCATAGAGTAGGTCTGCCAAAGGCTGGAAATGTGTACTTGGAGTTCCCTCATATTCCCTCCATCCCCAAGTGGGTTAGGACCACACAAGATTCAGGAATCAATGGGGCTATTGTTTGTAAATCCAGGTTCCCAAGAGGCTTCCCTAATACATCAGCCCAGTGACCTTATGTCACTGTTTTCTCTGCTTGTTCAGCATTTGGATTGAGAGGCTTCCATAACATAGGGTCCATTACCTAAAAATGTGACCCAATTACAAGTTTTCTGATTAGAAACAATTGAAAGGGGTGGGCGCATGTGGTCTCCCCAAACAGTCATTCTGTCTGGTATTTTTCAAATCTGGATAACTTTTATTCAGATTGTTTATGCTCTTTTATGACCATTTCACCCAGGAACAGGTTGTGGAATGTGTGAAGCCTTAGGTAGAACCATGGAATCCTTTATATCACTGTTGCAACATGAACCAATGGACTGTGTATCTCACAGGCTGCGGGCACCTAAGAAGGATCCTGTACAAGGGGAGGGATGGGGTGTGAGCTACTTTTCTATAGAGGCCTATAGAACCTTGAAATGCCTGGAAGGAGTCAGCAGGAAGTAGCCCAAGGCCAGGGAGCCAGAGCCCTCTTGGGGGATGGGAGGAAGTAGTCTTGGGTAGGTACTAGTCAGAACAGCCTATATGTAGACTTTGGATTTACCTTAGGTGAACTGGGAAGCCATGCTGAGGTTACA